ATAGACACCACTTTCCTTAGTGATTATTTTTGTGTCCCCCCCCCCCAATCTGTGCCTTCTCCCCTTCCCCCCCCCCGGGAAAAATGGTTCATAAAATTGATCACTTGTAAAATAGGTGTTTGTAAAATTTGAAGCTTACTACAGTAGGACAACCTCTTTCTCATGGCTACATGAAGCAGACATGCAAAGTTCTTATAAAATCTTTCTACCATAGTAAAGGGAGCTGAATACTCTCAATAGCCAGTCTTAAGACTCTACAGCTAACTTTTTGTGTTGAATGCCTTTCCAAGCCTAGCTGTTGATTGGAGAGAATTTTGCAAAACTATTAACAAGTTTCCTTTAATGCTTTGTGGGAATTAATACACTAAAGAGTAAACTTCTCAAAAGAGCTCAGCATCTACAATCAGGGCCAGACTTTATCAAAAGATCTCAGCACAGTGGATGATAAGTCCTGAAAATTTGGCCCTAGATGTTCCAAGATCACCTCTTTCAAACCTGATAATACTAGGTGCATGTTATCTACAATACCCTAAAACTGAGAAACTTTATGGAGTATTTTATTTCAACCTATTTGAGATCCAGGTGGTTGTTTTAGTAGGTGGCAATAGTTTAAAAAAAGTCTCTTACAGAATGGTCATCTAAAATTTTATAACTTCTCTTTCCTCTAACCTGCAGGTCTGTCAGTTTTACTTCCCTATATAATCTTCTCAAAGCCAAGCTGTGTCCCTATTTTTATGTTTGTACCTACCAATTTACTGTGCTGTTTCGTGCAGCAGGCCTTGCAGGAAGTGATGTTATCACAGCTGTTATTTCCCCCACAACCAGGGGTTTAAGGGAAGCCATGAGAAATGAAGGTAAGACGGAGTTCTTTCCAATGAGATTTGAATAACATACAAAATTCACATTCTAACACAGTTATGTATGTAAACCATTCATTTGCTTACCTTCCCTACTCAGGCATAGAATTTTCTTTACCTTTGGTAGAAGAAACTAGGAGCAAGACACAGAAAAACTCCGAAACAAACTTGGATACAGAAGTGAACAGTCCTGAAACAGGCAAAAACACTGAAGATGGAGAGTATGTAACAAAACTGTCTGTGTCTGGAATTTAAATGCACTTGCCACTACCTAGACAATTTAATAGATATTAATGTGGAGTATTTTAACCATCTTAATCTGTTTTTCCTAGGGAACAAGGAGTGAGTGACGATGAAAGTTTCTCTTGGCTTGAGGAGATGGGAGTCCAAGACAAGATTAAAAAGCCAGATGCAATTTCTATCAAACTGTATCCTTTGACTACCATAATATACTATATCCAAAAACATGCATTGGAGTACTTCATTTCTCTGTGAAGATCGGTGGTTTTTGAATCGTAGTCCATCAATGACTGTGCAATAATGATGATTCTGTAGAATTTTCAGTTAGTGATACGATTTTTACAGTAAGTGTTCATAAATGCTGTATCTCCTTCTATACTTAACAGTGCGGGTTTGCATTTTTTTTTAAAGCAGAAAATATTGTTACAGGATCACTAAGTGACTACACTTTTTATTGTACCAAATATTAACATAGATTCTATCACAATATAAAACATAATGAGTGAAAATACACCTGTTACTGATCTGTGTTCTGATTAGGCTTAGAGTAATAGTAACTGCATTCTCTCTTACCTGTGTATTTAAAGTATATTTTTCTTTTTATGGAAAAATTGGTTTCTGGCTCAAGCTTATCTGGTTATAAATTTTACCCAATACTAGGCAGTATAGATTCCATGTGGCATAACAGAAATATACCACCTGTTATACAGCTACAGGGTGGGTGCCTGTGATGAAATGATGTCAACAAATCATGTCAGTTCTAGGTTTTCTGTCAATTGGTATTTCTACACATCCATATCCAAACTATTATGGCATGTGTCTTTGTACTTGATGCGTTTTTGTATTTTGATATAAGAACCAATTCCACCTGTTTCTGCCAAGATAAGGAATAATCAGCAGACTTCACTTGTAAAGCCATACATAGCATGCTAGGTGAAATTTCCTTTGTTCAACTGCCTTTTCAGTAATCTATACATGACCAGTGTGGTGATATCAAAGACACTTCACCCCTACAGATCATAAGCTGTTTTGTCACCTTCCAGAATGGTTCAGTAGGAAGACTTTTATTAGACAAGCTGACGGTTTGGTTAAAGATATGTCTACACAAACTTATAATGTACTAGTACAAACCTAAAACTGGGAACAGTACTTTTATTTCACACTCCAATTTTTCTAAAACCACAAACACAAAACTGTTTTAGTAAAGGCTCTCCATGAATGGCTGTTAAACTAAACAATTGCCCTTTAATGACTTGTTAATTACAAAACAAACAATCTGGAGAACATTCCTCGCCTCATGGTTTCAATGAAGCTAAAGATTAGGCCTAAGCTATTTTTGAGTTCTTTACCTTTCCAGAGCAAATGTAAATTAGCATAGACCTCTTTTCAGTGAATTTTTACTTGACTAATTCTTGGTCTGGTGCACTTGATGCCCTTAAACTTCTTGTATGTTTCCTTTGACCCATATCAACATAGCCGTAAAGAGAAAAATGAAGTGCAAGTGGATCACAAGCCTGAATCTGTTGCATTAGTGAAAGGAACAAACACATTCATGTTGCTGAACTTCTTGATAAACTGTAAGAGTTTAGTAGCTGCTGCAGGCCCTCAAGCAGGACTCCCACCAACACTGCTGTCCCCAGTTGCTTTTCGAGGTGCAACAATGCAAATGCTCAAGGTAAAACGCAAAGGAAAGAGTGATGTTCTGGTGCTGTCTGTCTTCGGGAAGGCTTTGTTCCTTCATATATCTTTGTGGTTACTGCCCCTCCAGAGATATCTTAGTGGTGCCATTTGTGCTGTTTATAATTTGATGTTGAATTAGCAGTTTAATTACAAACCTCTCTATTGGGGTTTCAGGTTGTAGCACAGATTTAAAGGATTTGGAGGCTTAGTTGTACATAGTCTCACCTTCAAGACACAGGATTAAAACAATACTTGCCACCTTTCTCCCCCCCCTTCCCCAATCACTAAGGTTGCTCTTTTCACATATTCTCTTAAAACTCCTGTTGTACTGATAATCTGGTTAGATCTCTTGAGCAATGTTGGCTGCTGGAGCTGCCCACTTTAGATATGATCTGAAACAGTGACTTACCAATGGTCCGTAAGAGGCAGAGGAGCTTAAAGAATAGTATTATTAATTATGGTATCATGGCCAAATTCCGTTATGGGTTTTTTTACATTCTCTCAAACTACATTCCCCGTGCAGTTGCACTCTACCTACCATATTGTGTAGTGTTCATGTGTATTAGGGTTTAGTATATTATATAATAAAAATCACACTATAGCCCATGAATAACTTAATGTCTAATATTCATAAAGTGATTTAAGAACCTTGAATTAAAGCTAATTTTGAAGTAGATGAAAAATAAGGTTTGTCACTAATCTTGATGTATCAGACACTGAATATGTAACTTACTGTCTTCAGGCTCGAAGCATCAATGTGAAAACACCGGTTCACTCATGTTATAATGATATATTTAGCTTGGAGATCACGGGTCCTGTCATGCCTCATTGTCTGCATACTTTGACCATGCTGCTCAAATCTGCACAGAGGGGAGCTTTTTCTGCTGTATTATACACCCATGAGCCAACAGCAGTGTTTAACACTAACACAGAGAGAATCTTAAATAAGGTAAGTAGACTGAAAGGGTGTCTTCCATGTTAGGGTTAATACTTTTTTATCACTAGAAATGAGACTACTGAATGGAAAAAACTGCTCTTCACTTGGGATAATGGCTAACGCCCACTTGTTGGCCATTTTAGAGTAACCAGTTTACAAGGTTTTATCAATAGTGAGGAGGCTGGGATTCCTAGTCATAACGGTGGAAAAGCATGTTCATTAAACTGATGGCTTTAACCCAGTCCCTATCATTTGCTACTCCACCCGTAGACTAGGCAGCTCTTCAATATCTACTGCTCATTGGCACAAAAATGGGTATAAAATACAATTAGTAGTTTGAAAGAAAAGCATCTTATCTACCTGTTTTGTGAAACTGAATTTCTACAGGAAACTATGTGGAAGGACCTCACTAAGTGTGGATTGCATCTTAAAACGTTGGATCAATTGATTCAACTTCCAACATTAGGAAAGTCTTCTATACGACTCCTAGAAATGAGAGACTATGCTTACATCTGGAAATCCTAAGTATGCTATTTTAATTCATGAAATGAGATTAGTGGTATTTGGTCAACACTCTACAGATGCTATCGTGTACCAGGAAGGGAGAATTGCCTACTTGCAAAAGCTTTTGGACGTAGTGGGTAAGAACTTCTGTTGCACACATCCTTGCTCATAAGGCAACTTTCAGTGGAAAAACAAATATTCTGAATAGTCCAGCAAGAACACTGCCCCTCTCAAAACCTGCAACAGCTGCATTTGTCTTTTAATGTTTTTAAATAAAAATTTTAAACACAGTAATCTTGTGTTTTCTCTTCTTTAGAATAAGAGTGAGGGCCTCTTAAGCGTTAATATATTTTCACCATTGTTAAGAGTACAGAACTGTTAGAGGAACCATTTCTAGTTTCTACAGAAGGTGAAGTGGCTCCTGCTATTGGACACTGGAGGTCAATGATTCCTTGTTTCAGTATAAAGACAATGATTGGATTAAATAGTGGTTGTCCTCTAGATTAAACCATGATAGCTAAATTAATTGTAATTGTAAACCTTCACATTTCTTTAAAGGTATAAAATGAGAAACTAATCTAATCAGTATCACAAGTTGTGACACTTACCCGTGATAACTTAACTCCTTTACACTATGAAACTTAAAGCAAAAAAGAGAGTGGTGTCCCTCCCAAGTAACGTTTATTCTTCGCAGTAACGAAATGTAACTGGAAGCACAGCTGTCATCTAAAAGGGAAGGATTTCAATGCTATTGGTAAGTTCAGTTAAATAAACTTATGTTCAGTTAACTCTGAAACTGGATAGCTTTACCTGCAACAGAATCTAAACAGCAACCTGCTGTTTCGTTATGATTGCCAAAGCTGAACCACGACTAACCTGTTCATGTGACAGGTAATTTGTCACTTTAAGAGTACATTTTGAAAGGATTCAACAATGAAAAGCACACTGTTTTAGTGATAACAACTGAGACTGACAAGCCACAAGTGACTAACCTGTCTCCTGCAGTAGGTGATATTAAAACACTGATTTAATTATTAACCAATCAGGATGCTTTTACTCTATTAACCAGTTGTAGTTGATAAAATACTTATTCAATTTGTTTTCCTCACAGCAAAATGTCAAGTATCAGGGTGTAGCCGTGTTAATCTGTATCCAAAAACAACAAGGAGTCCGGTGGCACCTTCAAGACTAACAGATTTATTTGGGCATAAGCTTTCATGGGTAAAAAACCTCACTTCTTCAGAGGTTTTTTACCCACGAAAGCTTATGCCCAAATAAAACTGTAAATCTTTAAGGTGCCACCGGACTCCTTGTTGTTTTCACAGCGAAAAGACTATTTCCCCCGTCATATTGTTTAAATATCAATATATAGTACTATAGTAAATGGAACAACGAATTCAACTATTGTGACTCTTTTGGGTAATGCTGATTGCTAATTTGGCTTCTAAACCACCTAGATCTGAGTATCAGTGCTCTAGGTTTATGTAGATAGTGGATATTGTCCTCCAATCGACAACCCAAATGTCCCAACTTTAGCTGAAAGTAACTCTAAAAAACTGACACAGATCCTTGGAGAGCTGTAGAATGCTTTTTACTACA